TAAGGTAATCTGTTTTTCCACTCTTAATGTTTGTGTTTTATCCATATACGTAGATAGAAAACTAGAAAAAGTACCTATGAAGAAAGGAAGCTTGGAAATATTTGTTGTATTTTCCAGAGTCTCCCACAAGCTTTTAAATAGTAGTTTCCATTCATACATGACAATAAAACATGAGTTTTCAGGGTCTAATGGCTACAGGAAAAACCTTGAAAGTGTCAGTTCTCAAAACCAACATACCAGCAAGAAAATAAGAATCATTTCACAATTATTTTCATCTTCTGTTATGTAAAAGTCAAGTTTCTCATCCACAGCAATTTGATGATTTCCCCTGCAGGTATCACTAGTCCTCCTTCTCTGACTACCTCGCTCGTAAATATGGATTAAGCCATCCTTCTCATGCTGAAGATGGGCACGGTTACTTCTTCTCTACCAGTCTCTGGAGCCTGAAACCTGACCTACTTTTCTGAATCTCATATAACCTTCCTTAATTGCCCTGAACACATGCGAACTAACTTTTGTCTTTTAAGTTGGCCTACTTTCTTGGCTCACACGCACAGCAGTAAATCAGTCCATCTAGAGCTCCTGCCAGGGCATTCGTTCTTTTCCAACTGTTACAGCTTCTCCTCTCTGGCTTTGATAGACGCACACCTGCTCCACTCGAGTGAGTTTCGAGCCTTGCTATCAGGCGAATTATCCCCCTGCATCTGCACTCCTTTGCTGATGTCCTCCCCCAGTGTGACACACAAACTGCTTTTAGGTCCTTCGTAGCATCCTCCCCAGTCCTGCTCGCTGGCGTTATCACATAGCCAGCCTGTTGTTTCCCCGGGTGCCGTACAGACGGCAGCGGCAGCCCTGACTACGCAGTTGCAGACATTCCCGGTGAACGCCATTCCCCCTGGAAGAGGGACCACGGCAATTTCCTTTCTTCTTTCAGTGCACTCTGTCAAATGGTATTTCTGGAGGTCACAGCTTGGGCGCTCCCTGCGCTAGCTGCTGTCATATCCTGATTGCCGGCGCTCCCCTCGCCGCTGCGTCCTTGGTGGTAAGCTCTCTGAGGAAGAGATTCTCCTTTTACTACATGTTCCTACTTGCCTGGGATATTAGTTGAAGAGTAACAGCTGCAGCAAGAACAACAGGATCTAACAGTTAATCACACCGTGCAATAAATATGAAAGTATTGCCGGATGCTCACAATGTACTATTGACCTCGGTAACTCCTTCCCTTTTTCTGCATATTCTGTTTTTTAGTATAGTAAAAGCAACAATCCCCATTGTTGCTTTTACTATTAAAATATTTTCCCATTATGACTGTTCTTATTATTGTCTCATTTTTCTCATTGGTTAGCAAGTTCTGTATCTCCTGTTTTCTCTACTGTCGAAGGTACAGGCTATTCATTATTATTCTTCCTGAAACTCACCTGTCCTGCACTATCCTCCTGCCCCAAGGAAATAGTCTTAATTCCCTGAGTTCCTATTTCCTCTCTGGATTTTGAATAATAATTCTTCACCTTCTGGGCATGAATTTCCTGTGCCAGTTCACCTTAAATCAGAGTACAATTTAAATTAAATTCCCCAGTAAATAACCCTGTACTAGTCTAAAAAAACGGAGATCTTGAATTAACTTACCTTTGCAAATTATCAGCACAAGTTTCCTGGGTGTGGCCCAGGTTAAGGAGTTTAAGAATACCCACACACATGAGGACTTAAATCCACCAGCAGTGGATTTAAATTCATGCCCTAAACCACTTCAGTTTTCTTTATGGACCAAGCCTGAGAGCCTATAGACACAGAGTAAGTTACTTGTAGTGAAACATTGCTGTAGTTATTGCTATTTAAAACATAAGCAATGCGCTTCTTTAAGGAGAACTCCTGTCCACAAGTATGAAATACCCATGAAAACAAATAAACAGTGCAACTTTATATATTAGAGCATATTTTATACAGGCATCTGCAGCATTGCGTCTTGGCTAACGGCCAGCAAAACCATTAACAGCAACTAATGGCACAGAAGGAAATTTTCTTCCAGTCCTATTTTCTAATTGCTAGGAAAGAAAACTAAAAATAGACTTTACAAGTTTGGGGGCCAGACTGCAAAAGCTGGTAGAGCTCTATTAACTTTGAGATGCTCTATGGCTTTACACTCTCTGAAGATCTGGCTCACTGATTTCGTCAGAGGAAAGATTAGGAATGAACCAAAAGAGGGAGATTTGACTCCAGCTATGCACTAGTTTTATTTGTATTTTAGAAAGACTTAATGATTTTTCTCTAGTTCTAATATGAACAGTCATTAGACATTGAACACTTTGCTCCCTATGTACGATGGGTAATTATATAAATGCTCCACGACTTTTATAATATTTAATAAAGAATTTGGAAGTCAATTTTAAGCATGCCTTTCAAACATACCCTGACCAAACTGCATGGACTCCTTTTTTTCATGTTGTACATCTAGTCCCTTTCCATGCCACTCCAGACATACCATTAACCTTCCTCATCCCACAGTTTATATCTGTCCAGTTCGCCCAGACAACACGTTGATTAAATCTTCTTAAAGAGGAAACGCTGAATTTGCAGCTCACAGTAATTCCTGTTTAATCTCTCTCCTGTGCCTCCCTTTGAAGATGAGACGCTATCCCTTCTTCACCCTCCTCTCAGGTTTCCACTTTCCCTTCATCGCTGTCCTCAAGGGTTGCCTCCAGTTCACATCACCCACCAGCCAGGTTTGGAGATCCTGCCCCCTCACGATTCTGCGATGCAGAAGGAGGTCCCACACCTCTGTCACCCCACTCCACGCACCTATGTCAGCTCTGTGGCTCAAGGACCACGTCACACGGGCGCTGATTTTGCCCTCAATTAAATTTCATATGGCAACTGGATAGCTCACGGTACAATTTAAGACCTGATTCTGTACGATATAAAGTTTTCATTGAGATTTATGATACGTCAATATAACTTGCTAGAGGTTTGAGATCTGGCACAAGGCTTTTATTTAAAAACTACATGGAGCACTTCCTCTTTTGGTGGAGCTGGGTTTATTTGTTGATTTTCAGGTACAGAACTGTATTTCATTGCTTATTCAGTGTTGGTACAAAAGACAAATCCTACCCTCTTTCAATTACGTGCCACTGCTTTCATAAAAGGAAGTTGTATAATTTCTCTGGCACAATGGCAAACAGAACTTAAGTTTCATAAAGCTTTGTACAATTTCAGTACAGATGATTCATTATGACCTGCTAAACATAAAAGCTGCTAACATGCGAAAAGGGGGGAAAAGGCTTTTGTTTTTTTCCTCTGGTGGCGTTTTTCAAATTTGTTAGTTTAGATGCTACCTGTCCTGAATCAGAAATCCACTGTAAGAAATGTGAAGTCATAATGTACACTTAGAAGTTTTTTCTGGACCAGGACATACAAGCACTTAACGGTAAAATAAAAAAGAGAAACATAAAGGTGGCACTGCTATCTCTTATTCTTACCTCTCCGACTCTTACAGTAGCATTTACAGACCTTGAGTTGGGCAGCTAAGCAAGCTCTGAGTGGAGGAGAGAGAGGGAAATTTGAAGAAAACATGACTGAACTTGCATTTCTCAGCTGTAGATTTGAGTTTAGCGCAGCTATAAGCGTGGGTTTATGGAGTTTTGGACTCAAATCATCCCTTTGGATAAAATCAGCTCACCTACAGTTTCAAGACACAGATGACAGTGGCAATGCTGCTTCCATTTTGCAGAAAAGAGCTCCATCAGAGGAACTAGGTATCTGGGATTTTAGACTTTATCCAAAATAACTCAAGACAACAGCTTCCCGCTTCCTCTACCACTAGGGAGACCCACCGTTGAGACTGGAGCATGGGTGCACAGAGCCAGTTAGAAGGGAGCTCAGTAGGAAAGCTGGGAGGTCACAGGCTCCAGTGCATGTCCCCCGGGTTATTTCTCCTTTTTTTTTTAGCAAATGCTATACAACATATAGGCAGACACCCTACAAAAAGCTGGGAGCAAAACACAGGGACCCTCTTTCATGCTAGCCAGCAGGCTGCAAGGTTAGGCTCCCTTTACCTTTTGTCCCAGTTTCTTGCTCCCTATCTGCAGTGCCGGTCCAGCTTCAGTGTGAAGGGTGGTCCACTGATCTGGGCACCCTCTGGCATGGTGGGAGTGGGGAACGGAGGTTAGATGCTCTACGATGAAGCCTCCCACTTGCTGAACCACAAGAATATTGTGCACATTCTTGCCGTCCCACGTTTGCAAATAAAAGGCATCCTGAGAGCACTCCTGCCTGAAGAGTCCTCCCTGGATTTGTACATACCAGGATGCCTCCTTTATTCATCCAAAACACCTGTAGGTGGGTGATAGGTGTCTACAGGTGAAACTGGTTGAAGTAGCAGGAGTTATGGACCATCACAGCAACTGACCTCAGGCACTTTTGCAGAGCCAAAACCTGAGATGCCAAGAGATTCCCAAGTGCTGAAAGTGTCCACTGAAGAATCCTTTTGACTTAGGGATGCCTTTAGGCATCTTCAGTGACATTTAGGTGCCCTAAAAATGCCTTTCTTTTTTTAACTCTTTCCTGGAATATCTCAACTACTCTGAGGTAAAAAGCTCTAGACAGTTGGTTGAAGTTACCAATCTGGGCACTCGTGTCTTTCGTGTTTCCTTCTTCTGGATTTAGGCCATAGTACAGAACAGAGGAAGGCAATATCAGCTTCCACCCATAGCATTGCATGTGCCCAACTACTGTCATTTAAATCCATGTCCGAACCCCTACAAAGATCATGTTCCCCTCTTTCCTGCAGTGTTTTATTGGAAAGAAAGCTTGATATAAACATATAAGAATTTGAGTCTTCTCTGAGCCAGTAAGTACCTTGATACAGCACTTGAAAGTGATACAACAACAAAGCGCACTGGTCCCAAAAGGAAAATTGTGGTTTGGTTCATATAAAACCTTTGTTATTTTTTCTGGAGCACCGCACAAAGGGCCCTAGAGATTCAAACATTGCTCTTCTCTGCTCCTCATATGGCTAATGGCCTGGCTGGTGCCATCGTTTCTGTCTCTTCTTCTGACTCATACCCCTCTACTTCTCCCACAGTGAGTCGAGACTTTGGCCTTAGAGCTAGATTGTCTGCTCTGGTGAAACGACGCTGGCTGATTGCATTTCCTCTTCGACCTGACAGATTGGATGGGCCCTCTCGTCTACACAAGCGTGCCATTGGAATCAGCTCTTCCTGGCGGTGCTTTGCTTCGAGTGGACGTAGTCGGGGCTGGGGTCTGAACATTACTGGGAAGGCAGCATTAGAGACACTTCTGTGGTGATCTGAAGGAAAATGGATAAAGAATTCATATTTTGAAGAAGAGAAAAGAGAAACACCATGGTATTGGCAAGGACAGTTAAAGGGTATTCAATACAATACAGCATTACTGTTTTAAACCCTGGAACTGAAGCATTTTAAATAATTGCTATAGAGTAAGAGAGCAGTCAAGAACTAAAAATAACCTTAAATTTTTATTTTCATCCCAAAGCTGATGTTTAAAAGATTTATCGATCTTGTGTCTACCCTGAAACGCTAGCGAATAAGCACATTCAGCTATCTTTTAGTCCCTCACAGAGCTGCTCAATGTCTTCACAGGGCAAGAGTGCTCCTTTATGTAGCTTTCAATTTTTTACGAAATTTCACAAATATACCTAGTACCATGGTTGAAAAGCATTGCGAAACCCACAGCAGCAGAAGACAGAAATTGACCAAGGAGAAGAACTCTAGTGCCACTGAAAATCAAGTTTACTAGTCACCTGTGATTAACAACTGGGAAGAAAACAGTTTCACCTGAAACCGGGAGTTTGACTCTAGGGCACTTTGATTACATTGGGTGTGTCAGACCTGCTCCTACCAGCTTTCTTTGCCACAAGTACACAACAAAAATTTGCCTGCAACAGGCCAATAACTGGCTTTCTCATTCTGTTGAGTTTACAGAACATACTTTTTTACTTTTCTTAAAGCCACTTGTAGTCTGACTATGCACTAGCAAATTAGTTAATTTAAGAAACAGCTCGTAACAGGTTAGAAGGTTTTGGGAGATAAACACAAAGGTCCATGAAGAATAAAATTAGACTATATCCTGCTGCAGTTAAAGCAGATGTGTATTGGGTATAGTCACCCAGTCAAAATTTATCAAGTTATTGCAGCTTAATAACTATTAAAATATTTTAAGCTAATGTTTACTTCACAGTTGGCACAAAGTAAGAGCGTGTGCACCAGCACTTACCTCCACTGAAGGGCACAGATTTCTTTAACAGCAGAACCTGCTTCTGTTAGGCCATGTGGGTGTACCACACCATGAGCAATAAAATAGGATAGGTATTCTCAGATTTGAAGGGCTTCTACTTACCCCTTTGGGGGCATCACTGCTACAAAGTATGAATGATATATAGTGTCAAAGAAATCATGCATTTGTATGAGTGGCAGAAAGAGCTGATAGGTGGTCTAAGGATCTATTTGTGGTCATTTCTGACCTCTTAGTTACTAAACTTTCTGCACATGCTATATATAAGAGCTAAACCAAGCTTGCTGGAGGATGCTTATTCCAGGAGGGCTTCCAGACATGGACAGAAGAGGTGGCATTTATCACTGTAAATGCATATGTGCATATATATGAGGTTGTCATTCTAATTTCCTACATACTGAATATATGTCTTCTCAGTTCCCAAGTGCAATTCATCACATCCTAACACAGTTTATGAGAGGAGTTTAGGGCGGCTTCCTCCTGCTGCAGACATTTAAAGCGGTGTGAATAGCTGGGGGGGTGTGAATGGTGTGAATAGCCCCCAGAAAAGATGGGGCCAGAAGCTGGACCAAGAAGTCTAACTATTTGGATAGATCACAAGGCAGGGCTCAAATTCAGGCCTAGCTATTAATAAAAATGTACCTGCATTCACCGCCTCAGGATTTACTCCTCTCCCCACTGAAATAATGTGCCTGCTATACCAGGACTTGGTCCCCTGAAAGCGTCTGAAATGCTTTTAGGTCTGAGGCTGCTGTGTAGAACAGTTTGAGTCTTTTAGAAAGACACATATCCCCCACCATGATATCCTGACAAACAGAACAGAAAAGAATCAGCTGCATGAAAAAAGAAAAAATCCCCTTGAGTAACTGTGAATAGATCCTATGGGTTTCTGTTCTGCTGCCATCACGTGTGAGTGCCCAGCCCCACGGGGATGGTTTGCCTACACAGATCTCTTTTGCTTTCATCTCTTTCAGAGTAAAACAGAAAGGGAAGAAAGAAAATAATTTTGCACCTGCAGGAAACAAACTTTGTTGTCCATGTTTTTGATACAAAGACGAAGATTAAAAATATGGTTTCAATAGCTATAGCTAATTTTGCCAGAAATGAAAAGGAATTTTTCTAAGGAACCCAAATGCATTTCAGGTTCATATAAATAAATGCAGAAAGGAGTCAGGGAGATTACAGATGGAGACAATGATGAACATTCAAGTGTCCTAAATTCCATGTGTTCTGTGACATGGCCTGCTATGTTTCTGTGGGCAATTCAGTGTTGCTCCATTCCTATGCTCTGTCTCCTTACTTAGGGTGTAAGTGAGGATGGGTCTGCATTTTACTGTGTACATATGATAACCTGAGACTGGCCGATAACTTTATGCAGTAATACCAGTATTACTATAGAAATGGTCATAGAGAGCAAGCTGGGAAAAAGGGAGAAGAGACCAGCTGCTTCTGCCAGGATTTTTTGTTAGGTTATGTGATTAGAGACTCATCTCCACAAACACAGAGGAGCCCCAAGGCACACGGGCAGGAAGGGGAGCCCCCAGTACCCCAGTCAGAGGGATGAGCCTGAGCCCCTTCCCTGATCCATGACAGGGGTGATCAGCTCCGTGGGCAGGGTGAGACCCACCACAATGAGCCAACGGAGAGACTCTCCCCCAGGGCACCTCATAGAATAAGGTGTAGCAGGGTATGGCGCTTATTATTGGGATGTCTGGGGAGAGTGTTTTGGGATCATACAGGACTTATGATGGGATGTTTAGGGCAGGAACCAAAGGCAGGGAAAGGAAGGGATCAGGGCAGTCTGGGGAGGAACAAGTGCACGCAAATAGAGAAAAAAAGGGATAAAAAGGGCTGCTCGCATGTAAACAGGGGCTGGTCAGTACATGTGTCTGACAATGCCCTGTGCCTGATCAGCGCAGTCTGTCCTGTCTTCTCATTAAAATCCATTTCTGACTGTTTCCCTGGGTGAGCAGCTCCCTATATTGTGTACCTGTGTGTGTGGAGGTCTGAGTCCCAGCAGCTGAAGGGACTGGGGTGCATGCATATTCTGTGGGTGCATATGTCAACACGAAATCACCAGGAATCACCAAGCCAGAGTAGCCATCAAGAAGGATAAGAGGCTTGGGAACCAACTATTGGAGCAACCAACCGGGACAGACACTAGGGAGAGCAGGAGGTCTGTGAGTTCGCTATTGGAGGGGGCAGGAGGTCCAGCCCAGTGACTGAAGAGACCATGGGGTCTGTGGTTGGCTACTGCTAAGGCCATAATCTGGAGTAGGTACCAGAATGACCTATTTGCACGTGTGTCCCTGTGTGTGAGGCGAGGGGAGACCAGAGGATCCAGGAGCCCACTATGGGGAAGACTGGGTGTCCAAGGCCAGCTACTGGAGGGATCTACAGTGCATGGGGTGGGGTGGAAGAGCATCTGTGCATGTGTGTGTGTGCACACGCATGTGTGTAGTTCTAAGTATCAGCAGCTGCCGTAGGGCTGTGTCCCCAGGGGCTCACATGCCTAGGTGCCACTAACTGGGGAGACGGAGTGTCCAGGGCCAGCTACTGGGCAGTGTGTGTCTAAGGCCAGCTGCTGGGGAATTCAGATAGCAGTTATGTATATATAATTTTCCACTAACAGGCTATCGTCCTGATCAGCCAGAGAGGGGACCAGGATGAGGCCGTTGGTGCTGTTTGCATTTGTGTGAGCACTGTACCCTGTCTGTGCTGCTCTGTGTGTCCAGCCGTGTGTACGTTGTACACTGAGTTACGGTGGCGGGGGTGCCTGTTGGGAATACCTGCTCAGCCTCGCTACCAGCAGGAGCTGGGGCCATGGAGCTGCGGCAGCCTCACCTCAACTGGGCCACGGGTTCAGCATCTCCTAACAATTTTGCATGCAATTGTGTCTGGGAACAGATAATTTGCTTTCTCAGGCTTACACAGATGCTCTCATGGCCAGGCCAAACTGCAGGAATCACAGGAATATTTGTGCAACAGGGAAAAAGAGAAAACTAGGCGTTGCTGGAACGAGATAGAAACTGCAGCAGTAATGACCATATAAACAACGTAGATAAAAGAGATAGGAGAGAAGGGCGTAGCTCATTTAAAGAGGCCAGGGACTTCCATGGGAGTAGTCATGTAGTACTGTTAAATCCACTGAGCAACTGGCCAAGTTTCTTTCACTGCTGGAGTAGGATACAGAGTAAAGCACTTCCCTTACCTGTAAAAGTAACATGCCCGGCTTTTCGTCTAGTGGGCTGGCTGGGGCCCTGAGGCAAAGAGAGGTAGCGTACGCCCATGGTGCTAGCCTGTGTATGGAGACAGAAATGTGTTCAGTGCCCGCGATTGCCTCCGCAATTTGCACTTATTTGGTGGGGTGGTAAAAAGGGATGGATATATGCTTTTTCTGCTGTGCCTCTGCACCTTTACAGCCAAATTTAGAGAGGTGTGAATAAGATCAGTGCTTGGCTTGGATGGGTTGAACTCAATGTCAGCTGTAGTGAAAATGTCTGTGTCTGGCATAATAGCCCTAGGTTTCTTCTACAATCAGTGGAAAGAAATATGTTCTTCTAAGAGTCACCTTTCCGATTTCAGGTGACAACTTTAAATAAAATTAATACACCCAGCAAGAACTTATTTCTCTTCCTTAACTGTGATTATCTCAGTTGTAAATGTCTATGCTATCCAATGCCTACATTTGGTCAGTCAAATCTTACTCTTACTGATCGAGAGCCCAAACTGGCAGTGCAAGGTGTCAGGGGCTTTGCATCAGGCCTTTTGTGAATCCACAAATTCACACAGCTGTGATTATACTGTTTTGCACATGCCAAAACAATGCAAGCTACATTATTTTACTACTAAGGGCCATAGTAGCTGATTTCTGACCAATGTATAGAGGTAGGACAAAAAATGTTGCTGTCCGCATGCTCAGTGAAGCTCTTTCTTCTTAGGTGCTGCATGAGGACATTGGGGAAAGTATCCATTTTAATTATTGCAAAAAGCATATAAAAATGGGTGTCTCTCTCCTTATTTACAGGGAAGCAGAGGCATTTTTTACATGAATAGTAGTTTACATAACAGGTACCGGTCTACCCGAAGGTAAGCTGTTTCCCTTCCTGCAACTCTGCCTCAGGCTGTGCTGCCGACGGATGAGGATTTCTTGGGCTTGTTTCTCGTTTGTGTTGGTAGGCAAGTTGTGTCGGCTGTAGGTCGGTGCCTGAAACAGAAAATGCACCCAGTTGATTCTCTTTGCACTTGCAATGTTAATAACCTTGCGCAGTCTGGTTGATCACAGGGCCAAGGGGACACCTGCCCCGGCTCAGCCACCGACCCACCACAGCTCTCTGCCATCACGTGGAAAAATGCAGCCTCACACTAACCTCACTCCTGCAGAGCAAGACGGGAGGAAGCACGAACATAGCTGTAAGTCTCAGACCTCAAGGACTACATTTTGATGCCATTTTTGATAGACTCACGCCTGTTCAAACTGTACCATAAAAACATACCCACCTACACAAGGCTGTTAACGTCTCTGGGCTTGCCCTCCCTTTGTCAGCCCTCTTCTGATCACACAATTGGGAGCTACAGATCTGAGACAGGTCCCAAGAGAGAGAGAGCTGGTTAACCCACCACTGAGCCTCGGTACTAATATTACTGAACCAGGAGCAAGTTGCAGATGTGCCCCGGAAGAAAAGACTATGTTAAGAAGAGTACATCTCCAGAATGAGATGCACAGCTGAGTTTCCTTTCCATACTTGGACAAACTACACCTTAACATTACCCTAAAACTGAGCATCTTTTAGGACAAGCTTTTTAATTTATTGCATACATCTTGTGAAATAAGGGAAACAATTATCTGCCTTAAAGAGAAAAATTCACTGAAGTTTATAAACCTTCTTAAAAAGCAGAATCTGATCTCAGTCTCACTTGCCAGGGTCCTTGTAAAGTTGGTCTGGTGAGCCAGAGCATTACCAGGCCTTCAGAGTCGAAAGTGAAGTATTAGAAGTGGCATTATTTTACTTCCAATCTTTCATTTCCAAAAGGACACAGTTCTCAATACCACATAGGAAGTGGCTGGCGCAAACAGTCATTACTGTAATTGATTTTGAAGAGAGAGAGTTCATTTCAGTAATCTAAGAAGCAGCCATATATGAAAACTGTTGCTGGTAAGATAAGACATTAGTATCATAAGGATAATTGGCCATGGGAAATCAAACAATATTAGGAATGCATATCGTATTAGTAATGACACATTTAAATGAACAGGGCCTAGCATTTTCTAGTGAATGTGTGTTACACGAGTTAGCCCCGTTTATCTGCGTAATTTCAAGGTTACTGTACTATATTCTCTACCACTCATTGGTGTAGGAGAGCACTCAGTTGTACGTTCTGGGCCCAAGACTGGATTAAGTAGGTATTATAAGCTGGGATGCATCAGAATCAGTACAAATTTCTGCAAAACAAATCCCTGCTGAGGTATTATCACCACCATTTTATGGGGGAAAAAAAAAACCCCAAACGTGTAAAG